ACCACACTAATTCACAACGATAATAATGGGCAAACTGGGATGGAATGGGGCTGAGAACGTATACTGGAACTCTGTACTTTCCAATCAATTTGTATGGAAACCGAAAACTCCTCAAAAAAGAAAAAAATAAATAACAAAAAACTGAGACAGAAAAACTGCCAGAAGAAAAAAGTGGGGGCAGAGGAGAACCTTCTACATCCAAAGCAACTTAAGAAACATACCAACTAAATGCCATACACAGACCTTAATTGGATCCTAATTTAAATAAACTGCTCATTTAAAAAATTACGAGACAACATCAGGAAAGTGGTTATACTCATTTTTTTTTTATGATGTGACGGGATTACTGTTCTTGATATTAGGGGATCATAATTTCGGGGTGTGATCTTGGCATTGTGCTTATTTTTTTGTTCAAGAATCCTTACCTTTGAGGATACATCACGAAATCTTTATGGGGAAAAAATGATTCAACTCAAAATAACTCAGTATGACAGGAAGGGGATAGAAAGGGGAGGGTTATAGATGGAAAAAAATTAGTCACAACTGATGATGCACATATGCAAATTCATGATATTAATCTGTCTACTTTTCTGTATGTTTGAAATTTTCCATAATATAAAAAATTTTTAAACCTTCATGGCTAGGAACCAAGAAGGGTTCCAAAGGGGCCAATTTCTCTCTTTTTTACTTACTGTCTCCTTTTTCTATTTTAATATTTGCTGTGTTTTATATGTAATATATGCTTGATGTAAAGATGTTTGTGTCAAATAGTGTGTGTGTGTGTGTGTGTGTGTGTGTGTGTGTTTGGGGGGGGTCCCTGTGAATATTGAGGGACACGTACGAGCAGTGATCAAGAAACGCCAGCGATGGTTGTTTTTACTTTCAACCTTTCATTTTTCCGTATTGCTTGAAATCTTTACAAGGAGTATATGTTAGTTACATAATCAGGAAAAATACACCTACTTTGAAACCAAACCGAGTCCAAGAAAAAGAAATCTGGGAATGAAAAAACTAGGATTGCTGAAACTAAAAACAGACGGAGCCCAGCCCAAGGGGAATTTAGCGAACTGCAAGTCTAAATTGAAAGATTTCCCCAGAAGTCTGCAAAAAGTGCAAGAAACAATCAAAGGCATGAGCTGAGACATGTAGGATAGACCAGAAATTCTAATATCCATCTAATAGGATGTGCAGAAGGGAACGTAGAGAATGGCGAAGACACATAATCAAGGAAAATGGAAGAAGAAAATTCCCTAAAGATTAGGACACATTTGAGCCATCTAATGGAAAGAAACTATCAAGTGTCACTAGATATAAATGACAAAAGACTCATGGTGAGGATACCAGGTCCCCGAAATCTAGCAACATCCAGCAGGGGCAAGGGGGGAGAAGGAGCCAGTTTAGCCACAAAGGGACAAAAGTAATTACGACACCAGATTTCTCATCCGCAATTTTGAATTGTAGAATCTGATAGAGCAATATCTTCGAAGGTTTAGGAACATTCACTTTGAACCTCAAACCTCACACAAAGCCAAACGAGCATTCGAGTTTACGTACAAAAGAAAGACATTGCCAGGATACAAGAACTTAGAAATCTGACTTCCCACAAAAGAAGTACTAATGTTGTATACACCCTGCAAAACAACAACTAAAACGTGACTAAAAGAGGCCTAAGAAACAGTGGTGGAAAAAAGAAGGCTGAGAGGAGGCGGGGCCGAAGTCAGAAGACACAGGGATGACAGGAGGGCTGTCAAACTGAAATATGCTGAGTCTTGTCTTAGTCCCTAAGAGATTACAGAGATTAAGAAAGTACATATAGGACATTATAAGTTTGAATATGTGTGTTAACAATTACGAGAGAAAACAGAAATATTACGTATAAAAAAACTTGCAGTCCACGCAAAGAAAAAACGGGACCCTTCAACTTAATGCATCTACACTTCAAAAGGCCCTGAAATGTGGCAGTTTCATATAAACATTTATTCTGTTTTTTACTTTTATATGCCATCGCTTGCATTTTAAACCCTTCTATGCTCTGCAATTTCTTGGTATCTGATATGACATGGGACTCTAATTCATCTTTTTTTCCCCCCAAATAGGTAGTCAGTTGTCCCAGCATCTTCTGTTGAATAATTCATCCCTTACCCACTGATTTCAAATGCCAAGTTCATTATATGCTAAATAATCATACACACTAGGGTCGGCCTCTGAGCCTTCTGTTCTATTCCACCGATCTGTTCAGGAATACAGCAATATAAATTTTAATTACAGCAGCTTTCTAATATGTGATATGTCAGCAGGGGGAGTCCTCCCTCAGCATCTTTATTTTCAGCGTTTTCTTGGCAATCTCTACATGTTTATTCTTCCAAGTGAACTTTGGAGTCAGTTTATCAAGCTGTTAAAAATACCAACGGAGGGGCGGCCTGGTGGCTCAGTTGGTTAGAGCGCGTGCTCTGAGCAACAAGGCTGTGCCCCCCGCAACTACATTGAAGGACAACGACTTTATTTGGAGCTGAGGCGTCCTGGGAAAAACACAGTTACAAAAAAAAAAAAAGTACCAATGGAATTTTTATTGGAATTATATTTGGTCAATCCCAAGCCCCCCCCAAAAAAAATTTATTAGTACTTTTACTGAAATTTTCTTAAATTTAGAAGTTAAATTCAAAACAACTGACACTTTTACAACACCTTTCTATCAGGCTTTGTTAAAATTCTTACTTAACGTCTCCCCATAAAATCTTTCAGTTTCTTCATAGGTTCCCACATATTTCTCAGTATTATTTGAGGGATCCCTCTTCTATGTTATTGAAATTTGGACTTTTTTNTGTTTTCCGATGGTCTTAGGCGACCCCTGTGAAAGGGTCGTTCGACCCCCAAAGGGGTCGCGACCCACAGGTTGAGAACCGCTGCTCTAGACTGTTCCTGTCGCTGTGGCGACAGGCACGCCCCCTGATTCACAAGGAAATGGCAGGCGACCATTTGCAGAAGGCCACAAGAGTCAAACACACACAATGACACAGGGAGTCCTCACGCTGACGTCAGCTGTCCAGTTGAAGTGGGTAAGAACAGGGGCAGTCACGGACAGAGCCAGTGTGGACACTTCCAGGAAGGTGGGCCAAAGCCAGAACCAAGTAAGAGAACTCGGGATGCTAGCTGCATGTAGGGTACACTGAATGTAGTTCAGTCCTGGGCAGCGGAAGAGCATGCATGGCAGCAATTCCTGCCCGGAAAGTTTCAGCTGCATGGAAACAAGCCCCCAAACAACAAGACCCCACCAAGTCCTCTCACCAAGCTCCTCCTCTCACACAGTTCTCTGAGAACTCAGAGGTGGCGCAGCAGCTTATCACTGTCATCAGTGACCCAGGTTCCTTCAACTCTTCCATTCTGCCATGCTCAGGGGTCCGCCATGTCTCTCTCAATGTCCCAAAAGGGCTGCCACAACTCCAAGCATCCTATCTCCACACAAAAGGGCCCAATAGGACAAAGGAAGAAATGCCTTCTCTTATCAGAAAGGAAAGTCTTTCCTAGAAACCCCGCCCAGACTCCCCCTTCGGTCCCACTGAGCAGAATCAGGTCACGTGCTCCTTCACCAGCGGCAAGGGAGCCTGGGAAATCAAGTATTGGGCATTTTCAGCTTCTGGCATGAAAGGTGGCTTCTGCCAGGAAGAAAACTGAGGGTCATGAATGGCTGTTGGGTAGACAGTCAACAACGTACCCCAAACTTTAGACAAACTTACACAAAGACTTTTGCCGTGTCCTTATGTCACGCATGCCGTCATTCACTTCATATTTTCCCTAAATCAACATAACTTTTGTTTAACCTAAACAAATACCTATACTTAGGTAGAAAATGTTACATCCCTACTGTACATGCAAAACCACGACTGGATACATGTTTCCAATCCATGTGAAAATAAATTCACAATGATTAAAACAAAAAGTATTCGCTTGTGTTACCTAGAAGCATCCATCGCCCCACCCACAGCAGTCATACTCGGAGATGCAGAGCAGCAGAATAAACTCATTTCCTCCTAATTCTTGGGCTCTGGTGTCAAGAATTCCCTAACAAGGGAAGGCCAGTTAGCTCAGGTGGTTAGAGCGCAGTGCTTATAACACCAAGGATGCCGGTTCGATCCCCACATGGGCCACTGAGCTGCGCCCTCCACAACTAGATTGAAGACAACTACCTGACTTGGAGCTGATAGGTTCTGGAAAAAGACACTGTTCGCCAATTAAAAAAAAAAATCCCTAACCAAGAGCTGGTGCCCGGTAAGGTACCATCCTAAGGACCCTTTCACACCAGCCGTAACAATTTAACACCTGCCCATCTATCTCATATGTCAGCTGTAAAGATGAAGACATTTATGAAACACATAATCTTATGAACTCATTTCATTCCAATCAATGTAATAAAAAATTTTTAAAGGACTTTTAGCAAAATCATAGTCAGAGAACTAGCTAGTTTCCTGGACAGCTACACCCCCCTCTCAAATGTTTAGGTTTTTTTCCCATTAAAATGAAAAATGTCTCAGAGGTTGTAAGGCCCACCACATGGCTTAGAATGAGAGCATCCTGAGATCTTGGTCTCAGCCCTCACTCACATTTACCCAAAAGGATGCATTAACCATGGATAGACAGAAGTGACCAGTGCCCGTTACTTACATCAGAGGCTGGCCCCTTGTCAGCGCCTGGGCAGGAGAAAGTGACAAATTCATGGCACCGCTTGTGCACGACAAAACAGCAGACTGCAAAAGAGAAAAAAAAGGGTAGGAGGAAGAGAGGGAGAGAGGGAAAGAGAGAAGGAGATCGTTAAAACCAGGACTTCACGACCAGTAAAGGCTTCATCCCCAAATAAGCCATGCCTTCAGCCTCTGCACCTGGTTCTCAGTTGCCCTCAAACTCCAGGGCACGCTGATGCTGTAACACGCAAACGAGTTCAGCTTCTAAAGTTAACAAGGGTCCCAGAGAGCACACGTGCTCAAAATGACCCTCCCCTGGAGATGGCTTGAGTTGCTCGGTTTCAGAACAGAGTGCTGCTTCTTAGATCGGGCGAGCGACATGGGAACTGGGTGGCTTGTGTCTAGATTCACAATGCATAAGAAATACGTATATTTACACACTAGAGTCACACGTAGCAGGATGTCCATATGAAGGGCGTGTAGAAACAAGAGCAAGCGGGAAAGGCAGCCCCACACCCCCTCCCCATGCAGGAGCAACGTCCTTTCCGTGGACGAAATGGGCTGCGGTGTTGGCATCGTTCCTTTAGTAGCTTGCAACCAAGGACGCGCATGCCTAGATCTGAATGTGTTTATTTAGTTAAACGCATCGATGGTAGTGGCTCCACTATTTGGGGACTGTACCCCTTCGAGGGGAGGGGGCCGTCAGAGTATATACGCAAAATAAAACCAGTGCTTTTGTTACTCAAATCTTGTTTTACAGTTTTGTTCTAGAAGGTGGGTTCCTGGAGGATGGGCGTCGTGCTGCAGGAATAGGCTGAGCATCTCTCTAAAGACATTCTCACTACACGAAAACAGAACAGGGAACCTCAAGGCACCCCCAGTGACACAACGGATCTGGGCAGCCATCCTCCGTGGCTGCTGACGTCACCACCAGACACCACTGGCCTGCTGACGACGGCACAATACAGGACTCCACCAGCTATTCTTGCCAAAACCATCAAACCTGAACCGGTTCAGGCATCTTGATCCAACTTCTAATTTACAGAAAATACAAATGACTGGGGCACATGTGAAACGGCACCATAGGGGGGGCACTGAGGAAACGGAATAGCCAAGAATGTGGAAACCTACAAGACAACCAAAGAGTCTCTTCAACAAATAAGCTGCAAGAGGACCGGAGTGAGTGTCAGGGCAGTTAAACGAGTTCTGTACGACGCTGCGCTGGTGGGCACACTTACAAAACATACAACAGGGCCAGCCAGGTGGCGCGTTGGTTAGGAGTGGGCTTGGGACGCCAGCTCTGAGCAGCAGGGCCCTGGTTCGGATCCCACAGGAGGGCCAGTGATGCTGCGCCCTCTACAGCTGAGATGGTGAACAACAGCTCAACCTGGAGCTGGGCTGC